TCTTCCTGTATATAAAGTATATTCCTTGGATATTAACAGAATAGAAGATTCATGTTACATGTTCATTCCTGTGTGCAATTTAATTTACAACATGAATAGATAAATATCAATTGTATAGATATCCTCTATACTAAAGGAGGAAAGGATGAAGACACATTATTCTAAGAAGGAATTTACATGGTAGGCTTGGTGGTTTTCTTTAATATATTAGCAAGCAGGGTATTAGAAAACTATAAATTCACCTACTGCTTAGTGCAAAGAGGGGAGAGCAGTACATACTATAAGACATAGATTTATATGAAGTTATCCTCACATAACTGAGTATCTTCTGTTGTGGTTTTCTGAACAAGTTGTAATAGACATATGGAGTAAAGTTTTATAGGGTTATAAAAGTGGAAATGAATGTGAATGTGATTCCATTTTAAACTGATTAGCTGCTCACACCACATAACAAATGGAGGACAATTAAATAATATATTCCAAACTACTGAGAATTCTGACTTAGCCAAGTTGAAACCTAGTACTAATCATCACAACTTTGAAAAATCAGCTATTGAAAACCCTACAGAACATACTTTCATTCTAATACATAGAGAGCAGACATGTGATAAGAGTTGTATGAGTCCCTAATGAAATGATAAAATAAAAATAAAACAAACAAAAGAATGATATTTTTCTCTTTAAAACTACAGAATCCAAGTTCAACAAATTTGCCCAACTTAATATGCCATTTGATTTCTTGACTACTGTCTCCATGAGCACTGGTTATAGGTACAAATAAAATCAAGTCCTTGACAACTTGAATTTCCCCCTCCGTTATCATGATGTAGTCTTGAACAAGTTGTGAGAATTTCTGTGTCCTTTACTTTGATTTTCAATCCATACAAGAGGCTGTAGTCTTTGATCTTTATCCTTAAGTGCTTCAAATCCTCTGTGCCTTTAGCAAGCAAGATTGGGTTATTTAGATATCACAAGTTCTTCTAATCTTGATGCAGCATTCTTATTCATATTGCCCAGTTTCTTGAATTATTTGTTTAGTGTAGACATTGAATAACTATGATGAAAGGATAAAACCTGACACACCTCTTCCTGATTTAAAACCTTTGTTCTCTTTGGACAATTGTCTCTTGCTCTATGCACAGGCTCCATATAAATACAAATAAGTATAAGAAATCCCTATTCTTCATATTGTTAATCATAGGTTATAAATGGTCCACATACTTTAATATCTTTGCTTATAGTCCATAAAACAGAAGCAAACAACTTACTGATATTTGTCTGCTTTCAGTCAATCTGATATCAGTAATGATGTCTCCTTTCCCATCCACTTCTCAATCCAGGTTGAATTGCTGGCATCTCCCTATTGATATACAACCCCAGTCATTTTTGAATTATTTTCAGAAAAATGTTACTTGCATGTGATATTAGTGCTAAAAGTATTTTCGACAATTTTCACATTCTGTTGTACCACTTTTTATGAAATGAGTCAAAATATATATTTATTTTAGTAAATATTACCTAG